GAATTAAAGCACCAAAACACCAAAGGAAAATGTGCAGATATAATCTTGCTTATAGTGACAGTATTAGAATTGTCTTTCAAAACTACTGTTATTTAAAAAAACCAAAGAATATTGTAATTGTTTATACATAATACTGTATATTAAAATCCAGATAAAAGAAAAATTTTATAACGGCAGCTTTCCTTCTGTATTTTTAAAAGTCTGTGCTTTTTCAAAATACATATTTCTCATTTTGTTCTGATTTCAAGTGTGTCTATTCTTTTTTTTTTCTCATTTGTAAGTCTTTCCCATCTATTAGTTCTTCATATTAAGGTCCAGATGCTTAGAAGTGCGCTTCATTACGGCTCTGGGAATAATCAGATTGTTGTATCCAGAAGTGGCTTGATGGAAGAAACTATTACTTGCAACTCATTCCTATGACTTTCCTTTGCTTTGTTCATTTCTTGCAGCTCATGTGTATCAAACTGCCAACCAGTTAGATCAATCTCTTGTAAAGAAACCAACTGGTTAATTAGGCGGGCCAGTGCCAAGACTAAGAGGGCAGAGGGTGTGAAGCCTTGTTGTTGGCTGAAGTCTAGAAATGTCAGCTTCTTGAAATGTGTTAATGCCTTCAAGATAGTGAGCCATCCCTCACTTGTAAGGCAAGTTTCTGCCATGTCCAGATTCTGGAGATCTGTCAAAGATGCTTTTGCAAAAAGAGTACCTAGGAAAACACGTTTGAATTACATTCAGTAATTTCAGATTATGCAGAAAGTTTAATTGTGTGTGGACTTAATCATACGTATATAAATGAATGTTCAAAAACGGCCTATGCTGAATCTTAATATCAAGGAGAATACAAAGATAATGCTTTATATCTCAAAATCAAATCAATTAGTATTTAAGGTTGAAGGATCCTATGTGAGTTTTCTCAAGAGCAAGAATCTAACCTCATCAAGGATTTGGGAAGCAGCTTGTATAGCCATAACAGAGAGGAGATTTATGTACTGGAACTATTTAGGGATAGGCAAAATTTATCCAACTACATGAGGTTTTTGTTATGATTGATTGTAGAATGTTATTTTTATCTGAGCTGGCTGACATGTATGTTGCTGCTTTATTGTTTTATTGTATTTTGTTATACTTCTAGGGTTGCTACGCAAGATAGATGGCTATTCAAATTAAAATAATAATTTCTGCCAGGAGAAGAGTCAAAATATATCCTTCTGCATGCGCCTGTGGAAGGCAAGTGTGATCAGAAGGCCATGTGGTGCTAAACATTAGAGCCAATATATATAGACCTCTAACAAAGGGCTTTTCAATCTTTTCACCCATTGTACCACTTTTAGGCTATGGCAATATCCGAGTACCATCAGTCGCCTAGTAAGGTGCCAAAAACGTGATGACAAAAAAAAAAAAAAGGAAAATAGTGATGAAGTACAAGTAGTCCTTGACTTACAACAATTCGCTTAGTGACTGTTTGAAATTACAATGGCACTGAAAAAGTGCCCCCCCAAGCCACAGCCAAGTAAGACACCTGCCTGCCCACCCGGCGGTGCTCTCCCTCCTATTTGAGGTTTTCATTGTTGTGAACATTTCTGTTGAGGTTTGGCAGCAGGGGCGGGGTGGGGTGTTTTTGCTTTTTATTCCCCCCATCTGCTGGGTGGTTGCAGCAGGTTTTGGTCACTTCACATGACCCTGGGACACTCTAACCGTCATAAATATGAATCAGTTGCCAAGCATCTGAATGTAAATCACAAGACCCTGCAGATGCTGCAACATTCCAGCTGATCGGTGCTTCTTCTGGGCTCAACAGAAGCGCCAGGATCAGCACCGAGCTCCACCTGGAGTCTGGCGCTGATCCTGATGCTTCCACTGAGCCCTGACATTCCTGAAGAAGCACTGATCCTGGCACTTCCACTGAGCCCTGACAGCCCTTGCAGCTCCAGCCATCTCTCGCTCAGGATTGTGTGGTGCTGCCACTGGTTCAGCTCATTCCCCTCCCCCACTACCACTTTTCCGGGATGGTCGCATACCACCTGCCAGGTGCCAATGTACCACAGGTGGCACCCATACCCTGCTCTAACATACCCAGACTTTTAGAAAACATACAGTGTAAAACAACAGAATGTTTTCTTCCAAGATGCTTCCATAAAATTATGAATCATGTGGCAATCTAGATAGTTTAGACTGTGTGTCCCAAGGAGGCCTATCATTGTATTTGGAATGGGACAACTCGCCACGGCCCACTTGCTGTGGGACAACTCACCACAGCCAACTTGCTGAGGGACATTTCACCACAGGACAATTTAATAATTCAATTTAATTATTTAAAATAAATAAAACATTATTTTAATTTTTATCATTCACTTTTCATTCTGTCCCTCCTTCCTTCAATGTTTCTATTCCACCATTTCTTTGATACTAGTGTAACTCTTGTCCTGCAGCGAGTTGTCCCACGGCCATGGTTTGTCCCACAGTGAGTTGGCCCTGGCGAATTAATCACAGACCTCATTGTATTGCTAAACTACTGAAACACAGTTCTGTTTTTTCCATGTACCAAGTATGAATATTAATATTTTGACTGTATTTTCACTCAATTTATTTAAAATATATTTTGTTTAAATATAGTTTAACATTACAATTATATAAAAAATTGTCTTGTGCCATAACCCCTTTCTATCAAATGCCATCTACAAATAGAAATAATTTTACACGAATTCACCTGGTAAACCAATAATGCAGCAGGAAAAACCTTCTGTTTTAGGTCATGCCTATATATATATTGAGGGCAATAGAAGAAGGGGACGACAGAGAATGAGATGGCTGGATGGAGTCACTGAAGCAGTAGGTGTGAATTTAAATGGACTCCAGAAGATGGTAGAGGACAGGAAGACCTGGAGGAACGTTGTCCATGGGGTCGCGATGGGTCGGACACGACTTCGCAATTAACAACAACAACAATATATATATATATATATATATATATATATATATATATATATATATATAAAATATATGTGTGTGTGTGTGTGTGTGTGTGTGTTTTCTGAGGTTTTCGCGGGTGTTTGTATGTAGGTCTTCGGGTTTTCGGGTTTTCTCCCATGTAAAATTGGAAGTGTCTTGGCGACGTTTCGACGAAGTCTCATTCGTCATCTTCAGGCTGGTGCTTTCGGCTTCGTGCTTCTAGGAGCAATGTGTGATTGCAGCTGTTTTCTCCTTTTAACTGCCAGTGGGGGTATGAACTGATTGGATGAGAGCTTGGCTGTGCTCTGATTGGCTGGGGGGTTGGCTGTGCTCTGATTGGCTGGGGGAATGTTCTGTTTGGGTGGGGGCTTTGTTGTGCTCAGGTTAGTCTGAGTTGCAGGGGGGTTTAAAATGGTGAACTGCATTGCTATTTTTTGGCTTCGTGTTCGTGGTCGTGCCTCATCTTCATGGTGGGTGTCAGTTTGCTTCATGTATGGATTGGAGGGGTTTAAAGTGGCTAATGATGCAGCTGTGGTCTGGCTTCTGGTTTGTGGTCGTGCCTCATCATCGGTGTGGCTTTGGGTTTGCTTTTTGCGTGGATGTGTGGTGGTGACATCCTGTGTGGTTTTTGTGAGTGTGGGTCTGGTGTCATTTTTTGTTTTAGGGAGTCGTTTGTCAATAAGGGCGGGTTTCCAAATGGCTGATAGGCGGGAGGTATCATCTCATTTGTTCATGCTGTGTGGCGTTTTTCTATCTCGATGGCTTCTCTGATTATTCTGTTATTAAAATGTTCAGTTTTGGCGATAGTTCTGGTCTTTTTAAAGTCAATTTCATGTTCTGTGATTTTAAGGTGTTGGACCAGGGAAGAAGTTGGTTCCTCTTTTTTGACTGAGTTCTTATGTTCTTCAATGCGTGCACACCTTAAAATCACAGGACATGAAATTGATTTTAAAAGGCCACTTTAAACCCCTGCAATCCATACATGAAGCAAACTGACACCCACCATGAAGATGAGGCATGACCACGAACGCGAAGCCAAAAAATAGCAATGCAGTTCACCATTTTAACCCCCCCTGCAACTCAGACTAACCTGAGCACAACAAAGCCCCCACCCAAACAGAACACTCCCCCAGCCAATCAGAGCACAGCCAACCCCCCCAGCCAATAAGAGCCACAGCCAAGCTCCTAACCAATCAGAACACACTTCCATCCAATCAGAACACAGCCAAGCTCTCATCCAATCAGTTCATACCCCCACTGGCAGTTAAAAGGAGGAAACAGCTACAATCACACATTGCTCCTAGAAGCACGAAGCCAAAAGCACCAGCCTGAAGATGACGAATGAGACTTCGTCGAAACGTCGCCAAGACACTTCCAATTTTACATGGGAGAAAACCCGAATAATATATATATACATACATACATACATACACACACATACATACATGCATACACACACACACACACACACACAACATCTGCAAAAATCAGCTAAGGTATTTGAGGGAGTGCCTCAATCAGATCTGTCCATCAGATCTGGCAGAAACGACATGTGGTAGGTTCTGTGTACAAAGGAATCTGAAAGGAGCCAGGAAGAGACCCCATTCTGCCGCAGTGCCCATCCTCAAGAACATCATCCGTCCTGAGGTGAGATTAAGCCCTGATCCTGTTGGCCTTCCAGAGGAGTCTGACAACATGGCTTTGTCATCTTGGCCTGGGATCTGGTGATGTAGAGTACCTGATAAATAGTTGTGCTTTCGGGAAAATGAATAGCGCTTTCCCACAGATTGTTTTAATGGTCTTAATATTTTCATTATTTTAAGTGTTTTTAATAAATTTTGCCATTATTTTTTGGTTGTGCTTGAATTATTTTTTTTGATTGTTTATAAGCCACCCAGAGCCACAGCAGTGACATGGTTATATTTATTATATATGAACAAATAACCCTTACACAGGTTCAGAGCAATTGCTTAGACTCAGCATGCTGACACATTTGAGTCCTTCACTCTTGTTTTCATGTCTCTCTTTTAATAAATACTGCAAAATATACTTACTCAGAATTCTGGCGTCAGAGTTGGTAGTTTGCCATTTCCTTAGCCCAAGTTTGGTCAACTGTGGCATACTCTTTAACTCCTCTAACTTAACAAGGCAATCATTCACTTCATCCACCCAAGGGAACATCAGAATCCTCATGTTTGGTAGGACATTTAAGCTTTCAACTAAAGAAAAAATAAATTCACCTTTACTTCTGATTATTGTTTTCCCTCTGTTTTTTTCCAGGATGCTTTTCTAATCTCCCAATGTACCCTGCAATCAATCTGGGGATTAACCAAATCAGACTTAGTTTAACTCTACAGGGATCAGCAAATTCAACTAGAAGCTGCCATCTACTATGACATCGATTAAAACACAGTCTGCAAATAAGTATTAAAGAGATATAAGCAATGCATAAATAATATGCTATATTTCAAAGAAATCACCTGCTCAAAATATGAATCATGATTTTATTCCCATTTTTTGCTGTAAAGTGTTCCCACATTCCTATTATATGATTTTTCACCAGGCCATTTAGCTCACAAAATTTGTTCTAGGTTTATTTGTCTGCAACTCTCAATCCAGCCTTCCCTATCATTACCCCATTTCTGAAATGCATTCTGTTGAATTACTTTATAGAAAATGACCTTATTTAATGATTATTATTATATATTTTATAGAATTTTATTCAATACTAGTGAATGTTTATTACTCTTTTAGGTTTGTATTGTTAGATAGGACAAGCTATCATATATAAAAGCAGCCAGAAAACTTCACTCATCCATATGCTAATGATTTTATCTAGCTGGTAATGAAATGTTCACAGGAAGAAAAATAAGCTCAGAGAATAACAAGAATCCAACAATTTAGCTTTGAACTACATATATTTTCCATTCTTGCATATTTTGCTTTTCAATCCAAGGCCCAAATTAAGACAGAGATTTGTTAGAATATAGCAATAGCACTTATATCAGTGGTTCTCAACCTTTCTAATGGCGTGACCCCATAATACAGTTCCCCATGTTGTGGTGACCCCCAAGTGGGTGTGGCCACCAATAAGAGGGAGTAGGACAGCTAGGGAAAAGGGAAAAAAATGGCGGACAGTGTGGTTTGGCGACCCCCGTGAAATGGTCATTTGACCCCAAATGGGGTCCCGACCCACAGGTTGAGAACCACTGACTTATATACTGCTCCATAGTGCTTTATAACACTCTCTGGGTGGTTTACACTGTCAGCATATTGCCCCTAACAATCTGGATCCTCATTTTAGTGACCTCATAAGGATGGAAAGCTGAGTCCACCCTCAGCTGGTCAGGATCAAACTCCTGGCTGTGGACACAGTTAACCTGCAATATTGCATTCTAATCACTGCACCAACATTGCTCCTCTATCGACCAAGACACCAAAATATAATCTCTGATTGCAACATTTTCCTGAGAGAAAATTATCTTTCTTACCTAATTGACAAAGGGCTTCTTTTCCTCCATTTGCCAAATAATTGTTGGATAAATCAAGAGCAGAAAGTTTGGGTAAATTGCAAATATTCTGAACTATAAAATAAGAAGCACACAGTGAATTAACTTATAGGCATGGGAAAGAGTATGAAATAAGATCATTAATCTGTGCTTTGTTAAAAAGATCACTGTGATAAATTGCTAATAATAACAGCAGTAATAACAGCAGTCAAATTATATGTATTTAATTGTTTTCTGGATTTTACTATTTGTTCAGAATCCAATGGGGTTGAACTAAATTAAATACAAAGGGGTAAAGAAAAAGGTCTGAATCTGGAAGATCTATAGGAAGAAAGACTGAAGATGAAAACAGAGATAAATGTCTGAATGACATAACAAGATACGATTTAGAATCACCCTTTTGAGAAACTGTCTTGAACTGATAGTTCACAGATGGAAGGTTCAGCTAAAAGAGGAATGGTTTTTTTTTGCTTTCCAAATATTGCTGAAATTTTAATTCCCAGAAACCCTGACCAATAAAGCTATTGTTAAAAAGATCCTGAAAGTTACAGTTTAGTAGCATCTGGAGGGTTCCAGAAAAGGGAAGCATTTTCAGATGGTCACCTTGGTTAAAAAGCCTGAGAATGGTAATTTCAACACATAGTGAGGATATCAGATTGAAGAAGGCTGATTTATAGATTGGGAATCATCAGAGTTCAATGTTGAATAGGTTTTTTTGCATGCAGAAAAGCGGCAAGCTCAAGTGGCATTCCCACCATACAGGATCCAATACCAACTAATATGAGCTTGGTCTGACACTTGTAGCAGCTGCCACTAGTGTCTTAGAGTGGGATAAACAGTCTGAACTGCATAATGTTTATAAGGTTATTCTATTTTGAAATACTGTTCTTGTTCTACAGTGTAGCTTCCCTCAACCTAACGGTACTATCCTTTTTCAAAATTCACAATCAACAAGGCCGTTAACATCTAGACTACAGAGTAATAGTTTGGGGGGGGGGAGAGAAAGATCTGTTCTAAAATTTTAAACAATACTATTTAGAATATGATTTGTTTTAGAAGTTTGGTATACCCCCAAGAATGCTGTTATTACTGGGTAACTTACAAATAGAATAAGGGGATTAAAATAACCAAAACATCTTTTTTCTTTTTTTTTCTTTTCTTTTTTTTATTATTAAATTTTGTTATTATTAACCCTGTATTCTGCTCTGGGAAGTGAAGGGAGGGGGGTTGGGGGTGGGAGGGAGGGTAAGAGGGGGGCTAAGTGTAGTATAGATAATGGTTGTTTATAGGAGTGCGGCCCGGGCACTCCCCTTATGCTGCATTCATGGGTTTGATAGGGATGAGAGGAGAGAAGGTGTAGAGAGGAAGTAGGGTATCGAGAGAAGAGGGGGAGGGGAAAAGAGTAGGAGGGGAGGAGAGAAAGAGGAGGGAAGTAGGGAATATTTTAAGAAAGGGTGGACGCAGTCTGGGGGAATGGGCGGGTCGCACCAATGGTTATGAATTTATCTTATTTTAAAATTGTATTGTATTTTTATAATGTTTAATTGGAAAAAATAAAAATTTTCAATAAAAAAAAAATAACCAAAACATGGACTTTACCTAGAATTTCTACAGCAGTCCCCGAAATGCAGCAGTTAACTAAATAAATTTCTTCCAGTTCTTGAAGATATAAGGATATTGATTTTACTATACTTATCATTCCATTTCCAACATGTGTAAGCTCTTTCAACTGCAAGGAATTCAATTTTTTCAAATTCTTTAATCCTTCAGCTATAAACAAATTGAGAAAAAAAAGTTTTACTCTATTACAACTTGCATATCCATAACACTATAGTATTCCCTTTTTGAAATAAGCAACATTCTGCAAAGTGCAGAAAAGTAAAAGAAAGGAAAAACATGATGTACCATAAGAAACAATGGTATATTGTTGGTGCCATATGCAGCCTTCCTTTTTAATTATTAACTAGTATTGTTCAATATGGTGAACATTTTGCTAGTATACCTCAAGGCAACCACCATCCAATTTTATCTCAAACATGCATTTCTAAGGAAGTGGGGTGTCTAATTTAAGGACTGACTTGCAAACCAATCCAGTATACGCTCCCCATATCCTGCTAAGCAGGAGAAAGCTGCAGTGTATTGACAATCACTCAGGATGCTTTAATCTGTTTTTTTTTTCAGATTAAAATTACTTGACTGGTTACATACATGGTAAAATATTCAGCTTCGTATTTATACTAAATTTAATATTTAAAATTAAAACATGCAATCTAACAACAGGATAAAATGAAGGAAGAAAAAACAAATGGGGGGGATACAAAATATGGGTTAGATGTTATGAAACATACATTAAATAAATTTCAACAAAACTCTATAGGATACTTTGTGGGTTCACTCACTAAAGTTACCTAATTTGTCAGCAGTGTTCTCATTCATCTGGACATTATCAAATATAATTTTTTCCACATTAGTAAGAGTAGATATTCCATCAAGAAGGCCCCCTAAGAAAAGAACATTTGGTTTAAAAAACTCATAATGATATATTGATGGATGGAATTGGATGGATGAATTGGCAGACAGAGAAACAGACAGCAATCTTAGACAGAAAAGAGCCTAACTTCCACCCCACTGTCATATACTTCTCCTTTCTCTATCCTACATCCAAATACTTCTCTATCCTTCACATATCTTCAAGAAACCTGAGAGTGATATATACAAGAGAAAATAAAAGGAGGAGATTTTGAATAAGCAGACATGTTTTCTTCCTTCCTTAAGCATTGCTCAATATCAGCGTAGCGGTTAAAATTGGTTAAGCTTTATCACAGTTTCCCGAGGGGTATTTTCCAAAGCACCAAAAGGCAAGACAAGAAACAATAGTTGGAAACTAACCAAGGAGAGAAGCCACCTAGAATTAAGGAGAAATTTCCTAATGGTGAGAGCAATCAACCAATGGAATAGCTTGCCTTCAGAAGTTGTAGAAACTCAATTAGTGGAGGTTTTCAAGAAGAGACTGGACAACCATTTGTCTGAAATGGTATAGGGCAATGATGGCAAACCTTTTAGAGACCTAGTGCCCCCAAACCATCCCACCCCTGCCCTGCCTGCCATCCCGTGTCCCGCCTGCCTACAGGGCCAACCACCGCCTCCACGGCCCGCCGCAGATCACCCAGATGGCCCAGCAGTGTCATGGTGGCCACCCACGCCCTGCAGCATCATCTGTGCATGACGGAGCACGAGGGTGCAGTCTTGTCCCCGCTATCCGGCTGCCATGTGCTGTGCTGCTGTGCTGCTCTGCACAGGCAGCGCCCGGGGGCAACTCTCCTCTGGGGGGCTGCTGATGAGGAGGGGGCCATGGGGGAGGCAAGGCTGGGGCAATGGCACATGTGCCCACAGAGAGGGCTCTGAGTGATGCCATAGGTTTGCCACCACTTGTATAGGGTCTCCTGTTCAAACAGGGAGTTAGACTAGAAGACCTCTGAGGTCCCTTCGAGTTCTATTATTCTACATTCTATGTTCTAATCTAAGATGACTGAGGGTGAAGGTGAAGGATAGGAAGTAGTGGTAGGAATAGCGAATTTCATGTTGATACAGCTTTCTGTCAATTCAAATCAAGTTAGATAGCACTATAATCCAGCCCATGGAACAGAAATATAAGGGTCTATAAAGGGCCTTTTGCATGGAGGTCTGGAAACTCCCTAAGTAATATACAGTATCTGAATCACAGTAAACATGTTATTTGTCAATATTATTGTTCACATACCATGCTGGTTTTCACTTTGCAGGTCTTTTATCTTTATAGTTTTCAGTACCATCATTTTGGTTATCTGTTGTTCATCTTCCATGCTAAGAGGTGTGGACTCTACAATAAGATCCTGCAGATTTGTACAGCTATTGAGGACTTCCCTCAACTTTCCTGTGAGGCCAGCACATTTGTTGATGATCAGTCTCAGACTTGAGGCAGAGCAGCATATTTTTTCCAGATACTTAACATCACCCTTTTCTAATTGATTGAAATCTTTTAATGTAATTTCTAAACCTCTGAGCTTTCGAACCCAATTGAAGAATAAGGACACTGCCTTTTCGGGGATAACAGTTTTCCATGCTGTCCTTGTAGCTGATGAATTACCAAAAAAGTCTAATTTGATGACTTCTAACATACTTACACAGTTAGAAAAGTAGTCAAAAAACCCACAGACATAGGTGGGAATGCTCTGGGTATTGATGTACAATTTTTTATCATAGAAGAATTCCTCAAACTCCTCCTTTACAGTTGTTTCAGAGATGCTTTCATAAAGGAATCTAATAGCACACTCCACAAATGAATTTTCCCGAGTTGCTATTAACCCTTGCTCTTCTTCAGCAATTCGTTCGTATTTCGTGAGTTCTTCTGGAAATAAATCACGAGCCAAAGGCAATCCAAAAAGACTGCCCTGCTGATGAATGGCTGATAAATGCCTGATAATTTTTCTGGTGGCTTCAGAAGACGATCCACAGGTATACAGAAGTAAACTGTGGTAAGTGGTAATTATATCTGAGAAACTGCTAATCCTTTGGAGATAACTGAACCCTCTGGTTACTTCCTCATCCCTATGGGATCTCAATAGTCTGGAAAGTCTTCTACCTGCAATATATTCTTGGAAAGATTTATGAAAAAACGTATATGCTTCTTTTAGTCTCTGAGCTGTGTACTTGTGCATAAGACCTATAGTTAACAGCACTTTTTCTTTCACGCTTGAGAAATCCTCGGGATGAAAAACAAATTTTTGCTCAAAGATTCCATCCAAAGCTAAATTTCCACAGTGAATTAAGCTGAGCCGAAAATGTTTGTCACTTGTCTCTCTGATCTTGTACTTGTTTTTCTTTACTAGCAAATCGTATAAGGTGGAGAACAGAATGGTTTGTGTATGTGGAGTAAAAGTGGATTCTCCCATTTGGATGGCACAAGCAATAATGACAAATAAAGGGGTCCTCATAAGGTTCTCAAACTGAATCCCTGAATTCTGAAAAGTGGAATCTAAACTCTCCAATTGAGACAGCAGGCCCTCAGCTAATGTGGCTTCCTTCAATACATTTTTAACTAGTTTTTTTGCACTTTCCACTGTTAGATCACCTGTCTCAGCAATCAGTGACCCAAACAGCCTCAGTCTTCGAATTGACTCTGTCCTTGTAGTAACAATAACTGTGTTCTTGAATTTATGACTTTCTTTTATCAGCGCTTCTATTTCTGGGCAGCTCTGAGATTTGAATTCATCATATCCATCTAAAAGGAAAAGGACTTTTTCCGCTAGCAATTCTAATATCTCCATAAAGTCTTCTTTACATATTCTATAGTTCTTCTTAAGAAGCTGCTCACATATGGTCTCATATAGTCCTGCCTCCACCCCACTCAGGCTGATGAAGAAGACAAGCTTGAACGGCATCAGAGAAGGATGATCTTCACTAGCCCAGAGTAAAGCAATTTTTTTGAGAAGAGTCGTTTTTCCTTTTCCAGCCTCCCCCTCTATGACACAGGGACTTTCCAGTTCATCTAAAAGGGCATTTAAAGTCATTTGCACCAATCGGGAATTATGGATATCTTTCTTCCAAAGCAAGATATCTGTATAGGTATTCTTCAAATTAAAGATGATATCAATTTCTCCACCTAGTGGATGAAAACGTTCAAAGGATGGATTCCTATATAAGCTAGCTAAATCCTGAGCCAAGCAATTGACATCCTGTTGTGTAACTTGCCCATCTGTATCTAAAAGAAAAGAAAAAGATCTGAATGCAATGTTACTAAAGGATATGATTTAATTGATATACTATTACAATGCAGACTAAATGAGTTCAGACAGAGGCAACCTACAATTTATACTAGATTTTAATTAGAGCTATTGTATAATCTGAGCTGTAAAAACCTTGATAAATGGAAAACTTTTTAATATTCTGCTGCCATTTAGGAATTATCTGGATTTTTGAAGCTCAGATTTTAGCTGTTTTGGAGCCCACTTCAGGGGCTAGTTCTAACTTTCAAAAGCTTTCTCTGGTGCGGAACAGGATTCTTGAAAATTACTTTCTCCCGACACCACTTCTATCTTAAGCAAAATAAAAAAGGCTAATTTGTACTTAATAAAGCAACTAAAGTTGAAAAATTAGCAATCTTAATAAAGATAATTATAAGAATATCTATAATGATATTTAATATAAATTAATTGGATATCTACTCACGGGATCCCTGTAGTTTCTTAAACAGGAAAAAATCTATTTTCTCCAGTGATGTCACCAAAATATCACAGGCTTTGTCACCTTTTTCCAAAATGGAACATATCAATTTTCTTGACGCATCCTGATTTACTTTTTGGCACATGATACTATCTTTTTCTTCACATGACAAAACAGATTTTGCAAAAAGACAATCTACAATTTTCATGATAGTTGTCCTCTTCATTGTTTGAATAAGCTGTTCACGGTTATTCTCCAAAAAATCCATTGGTGAGATCAGATGGTTCTTTGAGTCTGAATTTAATCAAGTCTAGTAGTGCACTGAATGATGAAGGCTACCTTGGTTTGACTGCAGTCTGAAAGTTCAAAATACAGCAACAGAAATGGTTGGTAAGCCTAGAGCAGTGTTTCTCAACCTTGACAATTTTAAGGCATGTGGACTTCAACTCCCAGAATTCCACAGCCAGCAATGCTGGCTGTGGAATTCTGGGAGTTGAAGTCCACATGCCTTAAAATTGTCAAGGTTGAGAAACACTGGCCTAGAGGAAATGCATGGATTTTAATAATAAAACATAAACTTCACAAATACACACAGACTGAATTATTCCCATGCTATAAAAACTGGGGTTTGGGGTTTTGCTTTGTTTTAAAAAAAATCTTTTTCCAAGTTATACATTCTGCATAGAATCTTCTTGGATAAATAAAGACATTTGTTTTCTATATGGGATGGGAAATGTGAATGGTGGATTAATATATCCATATCTACCACATTTATTTCCCTTTCTAGTATGCAGAAGTCCACAGCAAACTGTCAAAAAGGTTGAATCCACCAAAACCATCTCCTAGTGCAAGCTGTTCCAGTGTGGTTTGTTTTGATATGTGACTGTCCTTAAGAAAGGCCAATTCCTTAAACTCTCTTACAACGATGAACATTGTAAAGGAATACATTTCTTGGGAAACACCCAAAAAATTTTTAACAACCAACTCGACCCTTTTGACAAGAAGATATGCTTAAAGCAGCAAGTGTGCAGTTCTGTTAATTGGTAGCAAACTACCAAATATATATTATATTTTTTTAAACTATAAGACAACATATAGATTTTCAGTGTCCTGCATCAAAATATTTTGAGCCATCTCTACACTCCACAATTCTACACTTGCAGTTGGCTCACACTCATGACATAGAGCTGGCACCAACACTTTGTACCTTTAAGCAGCAATTGGGAGTAACTCAATTAAACAAGAAGGCAGAAAACAACCATAACTTTGTCAGGGAGCTCTTCATCACTGTATTTCACCTGTAAAGTTCATTTGTACAGTTCAGTTTCATCAAATGTATTAAGACTCTGGAGCAGTGGCCATGTTCTCTCTCCCCCTCCCCCCATACCCCAATAAAGAAAAGCATTTTGATCATATGAAAAATCTAGTTCATGGAAGGAACCCCAGGAATCCTGAATTGGAGCTGCAGGAGCTGGATCTTGAGGAGAGGATTAATGGATAGATTCGGAGCTGCTTCTAGTAAAGAAATGTTCCCCACACCACTTCCTTCCTTCCATTCACAAATGTAAGTAGAAACCATCCCCAAAGAATTCCCATCTCTACGTTTGTTCAACAATACTAATCTAAAACAATGTCTGAAATGTTCAAAGTATATCAAGCAAAAAGAAACATACTTGTTTTGAGACAGCTATTCGGAAAATATTACCAACTGATAGCAGTTTTAAGTTCCTTCTCACGCCCAGTTGTTGAACTTTGACATTTGTTTCACTTAGCTCACAGAATACTAACAACGCTTCCGGTTTTCAGAAGAGGGTGTTGCAGAAAAGGGTAGTGCTTACAGAAGGGAACACTGTCATTCAAAGGCAGCCCTCCACAACATTCATTACAAATGCTCTGACAAAGAAGCAAGTGCATGGATAACGTAGGTCAGGCCCAGGTGCTCTAGGTATGATTTCAGCTGAAGTATAAACCTGAGCAGGTGTAAATGTTCTTAAGTTTTTGCCCACAGAATTTCAAAGCCCTTTTTAAAAGTGAACTAAAGTTGTCACTTCTCCCTTACAACATTGCAACATCTTCCTGTACACCATCTTCTTGTGCACCAGAGAAAAATGTTTTAAAACCAAATTAAAATTCCTCTAGATTTGCATATGAATCCATTATTGCGAAACAAAAGACCTAGTTCAAACAGGTTAAGAGAATACGCTTTTACAGAGCTACATTCTAGTTGCTGGAATGTACTAATTTATGAGTGTAAAACTTTTTGCTAAATATAAATTAGCTAGCTAAACTCAGAAATTAAACATCTGTGATCAGGATATTAAAGATGGAATGGAAACACCTACATGGGTCAAGAATAATAAAAACAGGATGAAACCTAAAAAATCAACAACTCATATATGTCCCTGGGCAAAAGACTCTTAATAAGAACAATAAGATCTTCTTACACAATTGACCACAACCTCCCCATTACTTAGAAAACCTAAAGAAATATCGTACCTCTGGAAAGTATTATGTTGTCATCTGCTATGTGTTAGGCTGTAATAAGAGTCAGCTTGGATTATATCAAAGACTTAGAAGAAGGTAAAAGTTAGACATCAATTGCCAGCACTCCCCATTGCCATATTTGGACATCAATAGCCAATGGCAAGAGGTGGTGAGAGCTATAATACTAAAACATTTGGTGAATTGGTCCACCATTCTATTCCTACAGTGATTAACCAACACCTATAAGAAGCATCCAGTAGGTCATAAGGTCAGTAGCACCATCTTGCTCATATATCCCACCAGATCTTTCTTCCTTAATTTGTCCAGCCAGCCTAGCGATAAACAACATTTCAACAGTAATGTATTGTTAGCTATGAATTCTGGATAAAGAACTAATAAGGTAAAAATGTCTCCTGAACAAGACTCAACCCAGCTAAGCATGCAAGATTGTGCTTCCATCATCCAAATGGATGATTCCAAATGGATCTGAGTGACTTTATTCCAGATGCCTAAATTATTCTTCACAGAGCCTCTTCAAACGTTCTTGTAGCCTGTTCTCTGCAGCAATGAATGGGCACCTTATAAAGGGCTGCTGGACAGCTAATTGTGGTTATGATAACAGCAGAAAAAATACTCACATTTTGTTGCTTTTTTTGCCACAATGGGTTCTTATCTGTAGGAAGCCTGTAGTAAAGGTTTTACTCTTTATCTTTCTCCATTGTCACTCTTAGCATCTCTTCTGCTATTTCATCTCCTGGAGCTTCTCAGAAAACCAAGAAACACCCAGGATGGACTACAGTCAGAGGCTATATAGAAACAATCCAATCTAAATCCATGCCTATTTTAGAGTGCAACAAAGGACTCAATTGAACTGTCTGCTGAAAACTCAAAAAAAAACCGCTAAGCAATTTCTGGAACCCATCCTTCTAAAACCCTTCTGGAACCCTAACCAGTCAAGTAAAAGCAATCACAGAGTGACCCACCCATAGCAAGGACTTTGATTACCAGCTCACAACGCAACTATTTGTTAGGCCCAAGTTGAAAGATGACAGTGAAATCCAATTGAGCCCAATCATTTATTTGCTTACAGCTAATGGACAGAATCTTGCCGAACTAAAGCTATATCCATCCATACTAATAGATACATCTTGAGAAATTCTAGGATGTGGCTACCGTAAACATCTCCTTCCCCCTTCCTCTTAGTTCAAGACTGCACAGACTTTTAAATTTGGGTTTCTCTTTAGAATGTACTGCCTCCACCTTGAAAAAGCTCTGTGCTGCCAAAATTCCATGCATGGCTTCTCCAGGTGCATATTCTATCACACTACCCCAAGACAGAAACCAGACCAATATGCAATCTCCAATGCTCAAGTCAAGAATTGTCATGAATTCTTGAGCTGCTCCAAATTCTACAGTTTGAAGTCACCAATAACTAGCTTTGGCAGCTGTACCACCACCAAGGTGACAAAATCTAGGCAAGAATTCTGCTGTGCAGGATAGTAGTTAACAGTTGAAGGGCTCTATGGAGTCCAACTTCAACCAGAGGGTTTCACAGCAGGGTGTCTGTGGAGCTGTACTCTGAAATCTATCTAGGTTTCCTTAGTGACAATTGCTTCCACAACTCCCCACATGCCCTAAGACTGTGACTGATAGAACATTTATTTGCATTCTGTTGTATCATGAATTGATTAATTCATGTTGTATTTGATATAAAAAAAAGAACTGGATTCTTATACCAACACTGTAATGATATATGCTAAAGCTGTCTGACTGCTGAAATCCCATATTTTAGATCTATATTCTAATAAGGTTAGAACCCTGGGAATGATGGCATTTCTGTGAGAAGCAAAATTCAGGGATTGTTTCAAAAGTGAAGGAAAGGGCAAATGAGCTCTAGATTTCACCCAACTCTCAACAAATACATACTATTTCATATGAAGCATTATAAATGTATATCATTTATAGATGAAGTTTTTATTTTATAATTAAGAACAAAACTATTAGTTATTCTTGCTCATAGTGAAAGATGACACTGGTTAAGATTTATTTTTTTTAGCTCACTCATTTTTTATATTTAATTTGGCAAGTCTAGATAGCCAATCTTGAAACATTGTGCTCAAGTGATTTTTAATCTATTTCAATTTTCAGAAAGCCCATTTTGCCCTTGTTTTTGCCCCTGGAATAGCTGTAAACAGCAGCAATGCTATTGACACATCTAGGACAGCACATATGTGAGATAACCGAAGACAGGACTGCTCATTAACAACCATGGATAGCTGATGGTGAATCAATTCCAAGTTATTTTTTTAATCGTAAAATTGCAAGCACATTTTTAAAAATACAGTGCATAGAATAATATGAAAGAATCAATAGAACTACAAAATAAAAGGCACAGCAATATAAAAAGGGAGAACCCAACAATTTATGGTACAGTACAGTAATTTATTACTATAATCTCTGAGACACACTAAACCAAAATAAAATAGAATATCTTACTGGTTAGCAGGATATGAGCACATACATTGGCCTGGTTCATTACATATTCAATCACAAATTGATTGTTTTTAATTAACATACTGTGGGAAGACAAACCAACTCCAGTTCCAAGCTGGGAATAAAACAGAGGCTGCTTTTGAAAGAAGATCTCTTTATTGATAAGCAGAATCAGCAATCATGTGGTTCTGGCACAGTTGACCAACTGGAATTGAGAGTGGGTGGGTTTTTATACCTTCTTGGGCTTTGTATTTTAAATGCCTGTTCCTGTGCAATGTACTTTGACCTGTGCCCTTTTGGTATTCTAATGGCGCTGGGTTAATCCTATTATGTCCTAAAGGTCATGTCCTGCCCTTGGAATCTTTCTTTTTCTAATCCCCTCAGTTCCAGTCCTCTATCTATGGGAGTTGTATCTAAATGCATTTATCTTATGAATAGATTGACCAAGTCTTCCTGAATAGATTACCAAATCTGCATTTCTAAAAGCTGGCCTGTTCAGTTTCTGCCTGGGGCAGGGAGACTGTTTTTGTCTATGATTTTTTTCTCCATTATTCCTTTGGGTAAATATAATATTATGCCTTTTTAATATCACCTCAAATATTTTCTTCTCTAGGAAGGTGGGTGGGTGCTGACTTTCCACAATATGTATACCATATTGTGCTATCTAGGCCCCAGACTCTGGTGTAATGATAAAGTATTGACTAGTATCGGGGAAATCCAGATTCTAATCCACTTTGAATTATGGAAACTCATTGGATGACATTGGGCTACTTGTGTTCTCTCAGCTTGAGTATAAAATGACTGGACTCTCTCACGTTAAATAACCTGGAGCTTCTCGAGAAAGTGTGGGCTATGAATCTAACAAATATCAATAACAATATATTTGTGTTGTTTTTAAAACAGCCCCATATGCATGTTAAAGGATTCTTTTAGCTAATACTGTACTGTTTTCTAGATTTCAAGGAAGAATCTGCATGTTTGAATCTGCATCTTTAGTGGCAGGATTTTTTCTGTTGTTAAAAGTAATTGAAAGGATCTTTCATACTGTGGCCCCTGGTATCTTTGGTGCATTAATGATCTTGATTGATGCATTTCCTGTTTCTGCCTCTTAAGGTTCAAAATTGCTGCAACAGTGAAGGAAAGGCAGTGGGGTAAAAGTAACTTGCCACAACACTCCTCCAATTATATACAAGGCATATGTTGAAGGAAAAGTCTTCATCATGGTTGTCCAAGCTGGGAATAAACAACATGGCGACTGCTTTAGAAAGAAGGTTGCAGTTTATCAAAGAGGAGAGCCAGACAGAAAGATGGCTCTGGAAGAAAAGAGAGTGAGCACATGTAGGGAGTAGATTTTTATATCTTCTTGAGCCTCCTGTGGCATGAACTTTGAGCTGAGTCTGAGTGTGCCTTTCTGGTATTCTGATGGTGGTGGATTAATCCTATTATATCCCAAAGGTCATATCCAGCTTCCCTGAGGCTGGGACTGATGATCTTAGATTTTTGGTGTTGATTCTAGGGATCTTTCTTCCAAATCCCAGTTTCCTGATTCCAGTCTTTCTGACAAGATTATCACATTTGCAATTCTGCAGACTTGGTTTCTATTTGGGACAGAGAGACTTGGGGGCGGGGTTGGTTTCTGCTTTTAAAATCCTTTAGGGAAATATATTCTGCCTTTTAAATATTTCCTTCTCTGGGGGGGCTGACTTCCCACACATATAAGAATGCATGTAAAAGCATCAGAAATACTTGTGACTATTCTTCCTACTTCCTTCTCCCCTCCTTTACTCTTTTCTCTCTCCTCTCCTTTCTTCCCTCTCATCCCTCTTCAGATACAATTCAGGGGTAATGTCTGAGCAACTCCTCTCTCCAAATTTCCATATCTGTATTATATACAATAAGATTAATACTTCTATTTATCTAACCTTCTCGGTATATACTTCTATAAACATTTATACAACCTCCAGTTATTCAATACTGTGTCGCCTGGGTCTCCCTCCTTATCTGCTCCTTCTTCTTCCATCTAAATTGATGTTAACTATCTTTTAACCGTATTCTCTTTTCAGCCAATCATAAAAAGTTCCCCAGATTTCATAGTAGTCTGACTCTGTCTTATCTTTAATTGTCATTGTTAGTCTATTCATTTCTGCACATTCCAGTATTTTCCCAATCACCTCTCCCTCTGGAGGGGCTTTCAGTGCTTTCCAATTTTGTGCAAACACAATCCTGGCTGCCGTAATTACATGAATTATTAAATATGTTTTTTCTTTATTGTATTTCTCTGGTAGAATACCCAACAGGAATATTTCTGGTCTTAGTTCTATACGTTGTTGTATCATCTTTTCTATCTATGTTCTAATTATATTCCAATAAGTTTTAGCTTCTACACACGTCCACCATATATGGTAGAAGGAACCTGGTATCTGATGACATTTCCAACATTTCACAGACCTGTCCTTAAACATTTTAGCTAATCTTTCAGGAGACATGTGCCATCTGTAAAACATTTTGTACATATTTTCTTTATACGCAGTCGCCATTGTCAATTTATAGTTTCTTTCCCTTAATTGCTGCCATCTATCTAATTCAATTGTGTATCCAAGATTCCTTGTCCATTTTATCATTGTCTCTTTCACTTGTTCCTTCTCTAACTCCATATGTAGTAGATAACTGTACATTTTTTTAATCCATTTTTCTTCCGTTCCTGTATTTCATCTAACTCTGTTGTCCCCAAATTTCCCTCCGCCGGCAGACCCTTATGCGGGTCCAAAGTCACCCTGGAGGGTGCGACTTCTGTCGAGGAGGCTCTGCTCGGCTGCTGAGGAGCGGTGGCTCCTTTAGCGGACCGAGCTATCTCTTCGGAGAAGAAGATCGACCAATAAAATGGCCAATCACCCTGCTGTTTCAAACCGCAAGTCAAAGAACATCTAAGCTGTAAGAACCCCCATGGTGAATCCGGGTGAGACCTTTCTTTGTTATTCTCTCTATCCTACTTTGTATTTGGTACCTGAAAGAGCCCTGTTGGAATTACTTTCCCAGCTTGAAAAGGCAGCTTCTAAATTTTTTGGGAAGAAAGGCGTTCTATAAAACTAGAATAAAATTTTAAAGACTAAATTTACTTTTATATTTTTGGGGGTACAGAAAAAAATTTTTTTTTCTTTTCCTTTCCTCTTTTTCTAAGAACTGTACTATCATCCTATGCTGGGAGATTATTTCTTTTTCACATTATACTTTAAAAGATAGAAAAGGGGAAATGGTGTTTGGAAAAGACCTTTTTTAACTCACTGAGGACATCTAGTGGCAAAAATGTAATACTGCAGCTTCTGGTTACTTGGTTTGAAGATAGTTGACCTTCAAAATATTTTGAAGAGGAAAGATAAGCTGGGTAACTGTGGGAACTGTGGGGGATGGATATTGCCTAAACTATATCAAATATAGCCTTCACAAAAAAGAAAAGAGAGACTCTTTTTAACCACCATCAAAATGGAGAAACCTCAGTTACAATTAAACTGTACGCTTATATTGGAAAAGATTTATGAGGCTACTGCAGAAATATGTGCTACAATGAAAAAGTTTACTACAGAACTAAGATCCAGAAATTTCACTTCAAATGTTCAAATGGATGTCCAGGCTACATCTGACTATGATATAAATCAAAATATATTAGAAGAGGAATCAATAGAGATAAAAGAGGAACTTATTCTATCTTACAAACCTTCCATCTGCAACTTTGAGGAACAGAAGAAGCAAAGACTGAGATTTCAAACTACAAAGCAACGATGCTTCAAGGAGGAGAGAAATATATGTCTAATGCAGAGGATGGGATTTTTATTATTTCAAAAGCTACTGCAAGCAACAAAGATAGATCTACTGGTTGAAAGGGAAGCGTCCCTATGGAAATCTGCGTGGCACAGGAAAAAAGCCAGAATTAGACTGAAAAGAGAAATTTAAAATTGTGTAATGGATTAAAAAGCAATGTTGGATTTATGGTTTGTTTTAGGGATTATGATTTTAGAGTTAGAAGCAAGAAAAAATATAAACATATATACATGAGGGTGATTTTTAGAATGGATATTTTAAATAGATTAAGAATATTTTTGGAATAATAGATATTTTTTTAATACACATTTTATTGGGTTTTTTTACATCAAAATGCTCAGGAAAACACTGTGGTGAAAGGGTAACCAATCATAGCCAAAACAAGTCATATATGTATAGCTAAAATTAATACCTTAAAAATTTCCCCCTCTATTTCCCTCACATAATATAACAAATTTAGTTTAATCTATTTCTTCTTAAAATTCAGTCAATCCACAAAATCATCCCTATTACATCTATATAAATCACTCCTGCTTTAAGCTCCACTAATTAATTAACATATTCCAATTAATCTTAAACAAACATATTAATAAGACTTTGGGTATCCCTTCTACAACACATAATATTCCAAGAATAATATTCTAATATTTTCATATATATTCCATCTCTTAATTTAATACATCATTAATTAATACCCTTTCTTCTCTTATCATAGATAAAAATAATAGATATATTTTGACGAAAATTATGTATTGGAAATGTTGATTTTTTAGATTGGGATGGTTTTAATAATTAATGGAGTGTTTTAACCTGGATGATTTTTTTTGTACAATAACATAGATGTGATAAGGTATGACAATCAATTGGATGAAATTTGAAGTTTGTGTAATGAATTGAATTGAATTAAGGTTTAACATTATTTTTTAACTAAGATAGCTATCGTGTAATGGAAAAAAACAAATGAGATTGGTGATAAAAGGAGGGATGAGAGAAATTAAGAATTAGAGTATATCTGGAAGGGATAACTTGTTGATTTAAAGTTAAATTTGATTTTGGTAATTGTAAACTGATAAAGTTTTAAAACAGGTTTAGTAGTAATAGAAATTTAATTTAGACATGGAATTTTTTAAACGTATTATGTTATTCGAGGGAAATAGAGAGGAGACAGTGAATGTATTAAGTTGAGTTGTTTATTTATGTTTTTACTTTTGAATGTCTGATTATCCAAACACCACGGTGTGTCCTGAGTACTTTTCCTTAAAAGTTAAAAAACCAATAAAATATTTTTTTAAAAAAAAGAAATACTTGTGACCAGACAAGGTTTTTGAAAAAGTGTATCTTGATGTAGTTTGAGCTTTGGTTTATCTGAAAACTATTGTCATTTTAGCATGTCAGTACTTGCTCCAACTATTAAATACTTGACCATTGGAACTCCGTGCTGATCTACTACAAATAACTCAGAGATCTAACAATAGATTCAATAGATACATTCTGCCTCCTCAGCATTACAATACTGACTGAGCATTAGTAGATCAGCAGAACAGGCGCTTGCTAAGCAAAAAATAAGCAGAGAAATCCCTATTTTTTACGCAACAAAATAAATGCACAAATGCAAGGAAGTAGCCAATCAGAATTCTAACCGAAGCTTCTTTCGTGGCATCATCATCATCGGCGTGGAAGTTTCATGGAAGACAGTCCAAGATTTACCCCCCCCCCTTTTCTTTCCAGAAGTGACCCCCACCCTTCCATCTTTTTCTTTCTTCCGCCTGCCGTCTCGTACTGATCCAACCAATTACCAAGCACCAGGGTTCTCCAGACCAATGAAATTCAGTTCCGAGGCAATCGGGAAGTAGATCTTAGCAGCCAATCGAAGAGGGCTTTACGGGAGCCCAATCGGAAAGTCGATCTCAGGTTTGCTGGTTGATGCTCAGTCAGCAGGAGGAAGGGATGGTCTCCGCCTCCGCGGGTAGCTGTTGACCCGGGTGCCCGGCGGTTCCCGTTCGGCCCTCTCTTGGCTCTCCGACCGAGCTTTCGAGGCTGTCCGCGAGCGGAGCAATGCAGCACCCGGGTCCCCCCAAAGCGTCGCCTCCGGTGCAGCCGCTCTACGCTCCCAATAACGGCGACTTTACCTTCGTCTCCTCAGCCGATGCCGAAGGTAAGAACGGGAATGGGGCGCGGGGATAGCGCCTTCTGCGGAGAGGGCACGCCGGGGCTGCCTGGAGGAGGGAACCGAGCAGATGCCAAGAAATGCGGAGCCCTATGGCGCAGCCTGGTCTGCGTGGCAGAGGCACCTGCGGGAAGAGAGGAGGGTTGGACTAACATGTCCAGTAAATAAGGAGGGATCGAGTAATGGTGGTGCTGGCGGAGGAGGGGGGGGGGGGGAATGTGGAGCTTTACTGAGTTCCGCAGAGCCGCTAAACAAACAAAGGGAGTATATACTAAAACTGAGTTATGCAAACATTCTGGTGGTTTCCTTCCATTCTTTGCGGACTCTCTTCCATA